TCATATTATTTAGTCGTTAAGTTAATAATAGTCCAGTAGCGAAGTTTTTGCGCGAAACTTTATGGCCCATTTTATAACAAGTGGTTGGTAATTTAAAATTCTGATCTGTATCTTATATAAGACCGAGTGTATTGTGTTTATCTTGATGTTTTTATAACCGAGTTTTCTTACAAAATCATTTGTTTTTATGTATGTTAAACCTTTCGAGTTGACGCAAACAAGATGCTAAAATTGAAACACTAATTTCGTGGTATAATAACTAGATTTAAACGCTTTTTTATAAAAGTGTAATTATAATAATTGGTACATAAATTACAATGTATGACAGGCTTCCATACGATTTGTTTCCATAGTTTTGATATATACATAGCTTAATGAAGTTCATGTGTGTGTTCAAATTTGTATGACTAGACCTTTAATATTAAAGTGGCCTCGTTTGAGACCTTGTTGCGTAATAGAATATAGATTCGATGTCTCGCGAACTTTGTGAAACTTTGTTTAACGATCCGAGTTGGGAGTTGGGAAAGTTAACTTCGAACTTCTGTCTGGGACTTAGGCCGTTGACTTTGGGTTGCCATGGTAATTTCGGTTGGCATGGTAACTTATTTGTTTTGACGCGAATTTTTAATCATTTGGTCTACTGTTTACGGTCTATGGTCAGGTTTCACTACTTATATGTGTTTTTATTGCTTTGTTTTGTTCCATCACTTTTATCATATGTAGTTTTGCACTTCTTGCGCTCACCTTATCTATTTTTTTAAGTGGTTGCCTGGAAGCGTTCACTGGATAACGATAAGCCCGCCAGTAGCCCTTCTTTTTATTTAATTATTTTAATTGTATTGTATTTTTGTGGTACTTCATCGAAGTGTAAAGATAGTATATCTTAAGATATTTATTTCAAGTGTTGCGAATTGGATATAAATATAGAATATTAGGTTTATTCCGGCACATGTTTTGTATATACAACACACATATGTATATATGATTATTTTAATGACAGAATCAGCACCTTTTGTAAACCGTAACAATACTACTGAGCCATCAGTGGTCACTAAGTTATTAGAGGTATAACCCGGAAATCCTATGTTCGATACACGGTATCATAATCGACACATTATTGGGCTTAAGGTTATGTCATTTATAATACGTTAAGTTGCGTAAATTTTAATATGTTGATGGTAATCCGAGATTCTACTATTACAATGATTAATTTGATGTTTTTAATTTTTATTACAGCAAAAAATACTGTGCGATGTTTAATTTCGGTTTTCTAAAACAGAGTTTGCAGCTATTTGATGGATTCAATTTTTATTATCTTTGTAACAATGTGTTACTTAATTTAAAACAAATTCCAATTTTTAAATTAGATATTTTCTGGATGATCATAAACAAGATTAAACCCTTAGCGTGACTCCTGTAAGGCAATAATGTATTTTGACTTACGAGAGACATCGCTAAGTCGTATAGGAATCTTATCTTTAGGTACCCCATTTAATCGTAAACACGGTACTCTTATAATCATATAACGCGATTTTCGTTCCTCGTATAACACGGGTATTCCCACATATAACGCGGAATTGCATACGTTATATGTACTGTGATATTTATAATTATATATTTGTACGCACTTATTTCGTTCATAACATAGTTTTTTCTTATTCGATTTAAATAAAAATAGAGTAAATTTAAACGTGTATTATTTGTACATAACGCGTTATATGGTACCAAACAAGCGCGTTATGAATACCGTGTTATAGGAAGAATTACTGTAATTGAAAATACTGTTTATATAATATTATGACTTAATTTACGTTGTTAATAAGCAAATTTTGGTTTTACAGGCCCGTATCTAGATTTTATGTAGAGATCAAATCGTCACACAGCCATATGGGATGTTGAACGTTAAAAGGAGATGCCAGTCCAGTCTAGGCACCTGCTGCGACTATTCTACGGGTTCGATGCCTTTTAACTTAACAAAGAAAGTTGTAACAGGTGCACAACCAAATAGAGTTTTACCTTGAATGAGATTCTTTTTTTTCTCTTTTGTAAAATGTCTCGATACATACGATAAATGTTTTTGAACTTGTAATATCACAATTATATGTTTAGACATATTCGTCAAGAGGACAGCAAATTGGTTTATAATTGGCTGGCTCTCAGACCCAAAAAGTAACAACAAAAAAATATAAAAAAGACAAATTGCGTTATGTTAAAATATATTCTAGTACTTTAGTGATGCAATTGTCGCTATATATCTTGGTTTGTACCTTCGTCCGGGTTCTATATTCCAAATACAACAGCCTGCCTATGTTTACAATTGTTGGTGTTTTTATTAAGTGCAAATGCCATTTGTGAACACTCAATGCCAAAAGGCTCGGGAGTGCGTTGCCGGCCTTTTAAGAATATGTACGCTCCTTTCTCGAAGGACCCTAAATCGAATTAGTTGGGTAATACTTCAGTGGGCAGCTGGTTCCACATAGTGGTAGTGCGTGGCAGAAACTGCCTTAAAAATCGCTCAGTTATGGAACGGCGTGCGTCGAGTTTTTATAGCAAGATGTTTCATTATTTCTTTAAATTCTCGTGAATGAAATTAGTCTTTATGGTTTTGTGTTAAGGTGTATTTTACAAACAGCACAAAATATTATATTACTTGTATTAACTATCATGATTGTCTGTAGAAAAGTTGTACGACTCGTAGGATTTACGTCTTTATGCTTTTGTATTTTACAAACGGCACACGTTTTATAACTTGTACTAACTGTCATGATTGTCTATAGAAAAAACGTGTCGTAGGATTGACGACTGGTTATTTATAGAGACCGGGCGACAATTTACCCTTCACACAAATACACATACGTAATCATAAAAGCGAATCTGTCCGTTAAAACGACAGTGGTAATGTCAACTTAAAAGTCCCTCAAATGGCGTGAACGATCCGCATTGTCTAGGCCTTTTGTTTGAGGTCGAACCGAGGCTAAACCGCAAGATAAATACGAACAGTAAGGACACGAACGAACGCTCTGACGTCATATCTAAATTTGGTTTATGTAGGTACCTACTAGAATGAAAAATGGTGACGGTAACATTTTTGTCACGTCTAAAAACAATTTTTCTTATTTTTTGTATTTAAGAAGAGTGACACGTAGTTATCATGATTAAGTAACTTTTGATAGGTATTTTAAAATATGAAATTAGAGAATTATCACTGAATATCAAAGCTCTCGTTAAACGTAAATTAATCAATAAAGATTTTATAAATTTGACGAATATTTAAATGATCCTAATCCTTGGGATTGATTTGCTTCAGTTCAAACAATTTGTATCACTCAAAACTTAGCGATGAAAAAGAGTGTCGGAGAGTTTCTTGCCAGATCTTGTCCGCTCTACGCCCTTGACTTGCGAACTGGTTGTAAATGTAAATTTAGATTTAATTTAACATCTTTTCTCTGGACGTTCATAAGTGTACTTGTTTACCTATATGAGTAAATTTATTTTTAGTTTGAGTTATGGGCATACAGTCGGACCACTTTGACATAGGATTCTACAAGAAAAGAGCATATACTTAAAAGGCAGTGCACTCGCGAGCCCTCTAGCATTGTGAGTGTCCATGGGCGGAGGGTATCACTTAACATCAGGTGAGTCTCCTGCCCGTTTGCCCCCGCTCTATAAAAGAGTGATAAGTAAAACTTCAGCTAATGGCGTTGTATATTGTTGTTGTTGCGTCTATTAATTCCGTCCAAAGTTTTCAAATTTAAATATTTAAAAAATAAGTCAATACATTTTAAACAAGTAAACAAGTAGTAACTAAAACATTCAAGAGGATTAATTGATTAAAAAATTATATCATGGGCTAGTCCCATTTTAATCATCAAAATAACCCATGTTTGAATCTATCCAAGGTTTTCACATTTAGGCAAATACTTGGCACTGTTTTAAACACACTGTGGCCGTCTTAGCCAACCAGTTTGTAAAGACAGGTGACTAATCACCTGCGCACACGTTGAAAACATTAATTTCTAAAATCCAAGGACATTTATTTTACTGGCTTATTTTTCACGTGTTGGGATTTAGAAAGATTTGGGAGTTAGAACAATATATATTTTTCAATTATTTTAAGAGAAATATTCTAGGTTCCTGATGCTCTAAGAACTGTGTTTTATGAGCCTGACATATATTTAGAATTATGACTAATTATAGAATTATGTGTGTTCCTAGTCACATAATATTTACAATTGTTAACAATAATATACAGTTTAAACTAGTTGTATATTTTTTTCTTGTTAGTCGCTATCCTAACTTCCTTCAATACCATTGATCCGATCAAACCCTTCACGGGTATAGAGTATAGACCTCCAGCTTTTTCCAAATGCCTCTATCCATGGCTTTCTTTCTCCATTCGCTCCTGCTAACGTTTCTATATCTTCTATTTACATTTTTCTACGGCGCCCTCTTCTCCTTCTTCCCCTTGGCCTTTCCATATAGTTGTCTTAAAAGTCTATCTTTTATCTGTGCATCTTGCTATATGCCCCGCCCATTGCCACTTCTGTTTTAGAGCATAATTGAAGACTATATATATACATATACATCATTTTAGTTTTTGTCTTATTTTTTCGCTTTTTACTTTTTGTATTCTTATCTTTAGTACGCTTCTTTTCATTGCATTCTGGCATACTAGTTAAGTTTTTTTTTTTGTGTTGTATGACTATGTTTCCCGGTCGTATGTGAGATACAAGTACAAGACAATTATCTTTATCATATTATGTAGTTTATGATAATTATGGGGGAACGTTTATCCTATTATTACGGTAGCCGCGGAATGTACCCCACACCGGTATGTTTTTTATAAATATTCATAACATGTGTAAATGAGATGTTTGACAAGTACATCAATCACCGGCATTTATAAACAAAGCTTTGTCAAAAGTCAAATGTCAAATTACTATTGAATATTTATTTTTATGTGTTTTCTATTACCTAATACATTTTTGCTTTTATGAGCAATGACTATTACAATAATGGGGTAAGATCCCACTGCGTTGTGGCTCAGAGCTCAAAGCTTTTTATAGAAGTTGCAGGGGTATGTGGAACCCACACCAGAATTTCTGCTATTTAAAGATCCTGACAGATAATTTCCTTTGAAATGGAGTAAAATTAATTAAATAATATAGTTGCAATTTATGTCAGTGAATTAATTATACAAAAATAATTACGGGTAATTGCGACAAATTTTCTATAGGCAACCTATTTTAGCAATCCAATACACTCTCCCTCAACATTCTTTTAAGAATTGGTTTAGGTTTTCTTAAAGGCTTAGTTTGAACTAGGTTATTTTAGAGTACTAAGTTAACAAAACAAAAAAAAAATAGTCCCGAAATTCGCATCTCACAAGTCACAATTTTTCTCTAAGGTGAAATTGTAGAATTTTTATTCATGACCTCTAAAGACTTACATTTCTCAAGTCGGAGAGTAATTATTACATAAAGGGCATGTGAATATTTTATATATAAAAACAATTGAAACGGTCGTTACGTATCCCAGACATTGAAGAAGAAAGATACTTATATAAGGTACAACGTAGCTGTCACGTGAAGTGGGTATTGTTATATAAAAGTTCTCAATCAACCTTAATAAATAAATAGTAATAATTCAGTGGAGCTATCAACCTGTGGGTACATGATTGCGTCATTTTCTTAGTATTTGTTGATATAAAAAAAATATGCATGAAATATGTTGCATCTTGATGTTATTGATTTTTGGGAGGCATTTCCTACGATACCTAGCCTCGACTCTCTTACCCTTTATAATTAATAATAATTAAGCTTCGTTTATTCCTTTTATGAAACATTAATCCATATGTACTAAAGATTCACACACTAATTCTGTTTACTCATAGAGTATAGGCCTCCTCCAACTGGCTCCATCTCTCTCTATCATGAGCATTTTTTTCCCAATCTTCCACACTTCAAGCTCGTCAGCCTACGAGAGTGCGACCTTTCTCTTCCCAGCTGGCCATTTTCACCTTGTTACCTCTTATCTTACCCTGATTATCACCTAAATAAATATAATAAACCGTTTCTTTGTAGTTTACTAAAGTTGCCCGGAAGAGATCGCTTGTACTAGATAAGGCTTTGCCCTCCAATTAAGTCTCTTGCTGTAGTATATATATGCAACAATGTTTTTAATAAATAAGACGCAATAATTTTCATGTAAAAGTCATGAGGAATATCGGCCTTTAATATAGTGATTTCAAAAGTCTAAGTATGCAATATTATTTACTGTCTCAAAAGTCCTTCAAGATTTTTGATGTGATAAGAATTTCATTCATACATTTTTCATCGAATTAAGCTTAAAGTTGCACTTTCTAAATCATCCTTGTGTTGATTAACCTTGCACTTTTAGAATTTAAGAATTAGTTAATATTCCAAATTCAAATTTACACTGTATACGTTTAAACTTTTAAATCAGTATTCTACTTTATAATAAGGCATTGAATTTGTTAGATAGAGTCGTGGCGGGTTTTTTTTATGAACATTTGAGTATGTTTATGAGTAAAAATACGAAACGAGGTATAGCCTTCACCAAAGCTGAAGAACTGGTATTGCATAGTGTGTAATGTCCTAACACCTCCGAAAGATCTCATAATATGTTTCATTTATCATTTAGATTCGCAAGAAAGCGATTTGGTTTCTTTACTTCTTATGTCCACGCAAATTTAGGTTATATTTTATTAACTTATAATAAGTAGTTCAATTGGTGTGGTCAATGCCGGTGAAACAATATTTTGTTTAGGCCATAGGCTAACGACCTACATGTCAATCAATGAAACAGACGAAGAAATGAGTCCGGTTCATGTTTAACAACTTTTTTTGTACCAAAAGTTAAGCTAAAATAGTTAGTTAACCATAATTAAAGCGGTTCTCAAAATCTTTTAAAATAGTAGGTCATAGGAAATGGATGTTTAAAATGGCATCTTCGAACTTAGGTATTCAAAAAAATACGGTCAAGATCGACTCGTTAATTAAGCGTGTTTTATGAGATGTTTTGCTATAGAATAAAAACGTATTACAAATAGGTTCACCGAAACGAAAACTATACTGTTTGTCGAATATCGTTAGCCAATTATATACTATATTGATATTAGGGACAATTTACTTGCATACTGGGGAATTAACTGTCTTATTCAAAATAAGACTTTTAAGTTTATGTAACAAGGTTCAAACTACTATGGAATGTTTTTTTTTCTATATATATATAAGTGTGATGTAACGATTTTAGTAGTAATTGTAATGTACTAACACTTCTCTCTGTATCCTTTCAAAATTTTAATAGTAACTCAATAGTCGATATTTGAAACTACTTGATGGTCGCTAATTTTGAGGGTAGGTAAAAAATAACGGTACATTTTACATGGGTTAATATTCATTTAATGATAATAATTGTATCACAAGTTTTTAATTAGTTATAAGTAAATATTTACTAAAATAGTAGCTATAAAATTTGCGTCAAGTCTTTACGTCTCTTCTTAGAGTCTTCTCTTTACCTCTTGGTATAATATAACTACCCTCTGTTTGTGGACCTCGAATATTATTTAATAATATAGTAAATATAAAAAGATCCTTTCGATTTTATAATACATTGAATCAGACTTGGACGTATACATAGACAATACCAACTACTAATTGGTGTGAAGGAAACAGTCTTGCACTTGATATGACCCCTTTCAAAAACAAACCGATAATTTGCACCTGCATACTTACGTCATTGCGAAAAAAAGCGCCAGTGTCTGTAAAAAGTATTTTGTTCGAGTATTTTATTGGTCCTTCCACTTTATTCTACCTAGTATTTATGGTATTCTTATTGTCGTCCTGTGTAAGGAATTTCTATTTAAAAGCCATGTACATACATTAATAGATTGTCACATGAAAATCAATTATACTAAATAATAAACTTTAAATTGAATCGAAATTCTTTTATTTCATTTCTATTTCCTTGTTTTTATTATTTGGTGATTACGTCAACAGTAATTATTTACTTTGTTACACATAATACCCACACATTGTCTGCTTGAAAACGAAATGCATTTTCGAGGATTCCTACAAAAAATTAATACCTACGTTTATGTACTATTATTTTTGAGAGATTTGCTTAATTTTGCTGATAATAGGATTGGGGGGGAGATAAATTGCAGTATTAATTTGTTTACGTAATACGTGAACGGCCCCTAATAACTAACTTAATTTACTAAAAAGGATTTTTGACATAAAGTGTCCAATAACACTTACAGTCTCTATTAGGGGGAATACGCTCAGTTCTTGTGTACTATTTTTTTTACTTACCTGTACTGGCTTAGTTAAAAAAATTCGTAGTACATCATGAAGTATATATGTGAGTATTGTACTCATGTGTCATCGTGTATTTCCCTACGACCCACGTGATACACGCTTAATACCAACGACGTTAATTAATAGACATGCACCTTGATATTTTGATAATAATATCAATTTGAATGCACAGTTTTTATCGTTTATGAGGATAATTACTCATACTTGAGTGGTTTTTGTAAATAAGTCTGATATTGCGACGTTGATACTAAATACAAGGATGTAGTTATTTGCGGTTAATGATCTTGTTACGATATTAAGAATTCCTATAGCCTCATACAGAACGCTATCCTAAGGGATATTGACACAATACATATTTGGCATTTCACTATTTTTATTTATTATATAAAAGACACATTAACGAAACACATACAAACACTAACAGAGAATACACGACTTACAAAAACATCGTACATGCATGTGCATCAGTGTGCACAACATTTAAAGGGAAACATTACAATAATAAAAGATAAAATAATGTATATGATGGTATGTTTATCGGTAATTTATATATAAATTAATTTATATTTTTTTCTGTTTCAGGGAGGACGGAGAGGAGAAGCCGAAAGCGGCGGAGAGTCAGGACGATGGCTATGAGACGAGCAATAGCGGCGAGGCGCGGCGGAAGCCCTCCAGCGCTGAGGGTTCTCCCGCGCCCGTCCCTCCCCGCACCCCTCCGCCTGAACCTCCTTTTGAGCCCCTTTTACAACGGCCCTTCCCCTCCCCCTACCGCCATTTTGAACCTCCAGCGCCGCCACCTCATCACGACCCGGAACCATACCAGCACTTTCCCTTTCCAAAGTACAACCAAGACGCGTACTTCAAACGAGAACCAGAGGCGCCGTACGACATGAGCCAACAAATGCCACATCAGTTCGGTAAACGTAGTGAGGACTTATACAATGGTATCAAGCAAGAGTGCGAGGATCCTTACTCCTTTGTGGAGGACGATGCTATGTGTGCCATGTTGGGACAGCAGCATCATATGCCGCCGCATATGCAACATCACGAACACCTCCCGCATCAGCATCCACATATGCAGATGCACCCGCAGCAGATGATGCTCAATCAACCGAAGAAACGAGGTCGAAAGAAGAAAATTAAAGATGAAAATGGGTAAGTTTTTTTATTTCAAGAAACCTTTTTATTCACAGATTTATATATCGATTGTTTTCAGACGAGATATTTTATTTAAGATTATTATCATTTATACCGTTTTTTCTTTTTGTCTTCTTGATGTGAAATTGTTCAAGAAACCTTACCTAATCTTTTATCTAACAGGCAACAGTATTATCTTAAAATATGTATATCCTATTCTCCAATTAAATAAAACCCTTTAGCGCGTTGGCATAACGAGTACCAAGGTACCTAGGCGTGGCTGTACCAGTTTTCTGACCTATATCTTGAGATAACATGGGCTTAGAGGCCTTATTAGCGCGTGCTAAGGTACTCCGACCCTAAGCGTGTCAGGTTAGCCTTAATTTTATTGTTATGAATGTATTACACCATTGTTCTACCAATTCTAGAAGTATTCCGCTTTATATACATTTTATACTGAAGTTATTTCATAATATTTAATTAATTTAATAATAAAAACAGCTGATCACGTGGTTCGCAACGTAATTCTCGGTTGTAATGCTGCTCTAAGTAGATCAATGTTTACTATGAACAACGGTTTTAAGACATGCAATCATTTTCCAAAGCGTAAAATACTACAATAATTGTTGCGCGGCCAATGCCTTTTAGGTATATAATTTTTGAGCCGTTCGAGCGAATGTTGAAGCGCACATAGAAAGTGCATTGGTGCCCTGACGGGGATCAAACCTCAGGGATGAGAGTCGCACGCTGAATCCATTAGTCCAACACTGCTCTAATAAGTATCATATGATTCATACTTGTGATTTGTGTATGCAATAGTATTTCCTATGTAAGAATAAAAACAATAAGTCGAAATAATAGTAATTTTTATTTCACTGTTAGACACGGCATTCAGCTACAATAAAACGTAGAGCAGTTTTGAGTCAACTTAGAATATTATTAGAGCCTAGCTCTGTGGCATTCCAAAAGCTCTTAATAGGTTTTTTAGGTATTACAAAAACAACTGAAGTTATTCTTGCGATGTTTTCGTGGTACGTTTGTACGGTAAAAGTTTGAAACTTGAAAGACGAAGTTTGTTTCGAACTATTCGCGAACGGGAACGCGGTTCTTACATAATATTGTTTAATGAACTGACTAGTTTCAGTACATTATGATGGGCAAAAGTTAAAACGAATATCTCTATATTTGTTAAATTACTTGTTGCATTTTAACATTATGGAGATATAACAAAGTTTTTCAACGTCTTAAAGCCGCAGACAAAGTACCTACTAAAATTACGCTGCGAATTTTTAATTCCAAAAGTGTATTATTGCAAAGCAGTGTTTAAGTAGTGGCTTGGCGCCTAACTCTCTATTTTTCTATGTTTCATACTTGTTCTTCTTCTCCGCCAGGAGGGGGGCAAAAAAAAGTTTGCCAGGAGGCTTTTTAAAAAATGGTGCGCTCTTTTCTTGAAGGACCCTAAGTCGAATTGGTTCCGAAATACTTCAGTGGGCAGCCGGTTCCACATAGTGGTGGTGCGCGGCGAAAATTGCCTTAAGAAACGCTCATTGCTTGTTCATTCGGTAGGTGATTTTAATGAGAAAATCAGCAGTCAGACCCAACACTTGCCAATATAGAAAGAAATTGAGAACATCTGCTGAGGCCATTGGCAAGTTTGTGGCAACCGTTATTTTTTAACATAAAGAATGTGTCAGCTAATATTTTTGATGGAAAATTTGACGAATGGTGTAGTAAATATAGGAACATGTTATTTAATCAAATTGACTGTTTTGCTCCTTATACAGGCATCCTTGACTCACGTATGCTATTATATCATTGAGATAAATGTGTTTGTTATTCCTATAAAACTCTTGCGAGTGAAAGACAAGGCCAAACAACGTTTCAGCACTTGACGTAGGACACCTTTCGAGTGGCAATGCTTGCATAAGACGGCTGCGGCCAATTGGATTGTGAGCGGATGACGATACATCCGAGAGTGTAACCTTATTTACGCTCAAATCGCGGATGAGGGTTGGCTTTTGGATGGATTTCGTACTAGATTTTTTTATACGAAAGTAAAACGTTTCGTGACCACCTCGCCCCTCGTCGTAAACCCCCCCCAATTCGTTACGTAATACTTGAACGCTCCCTAGTGAGTGATGACAAATTAACGATTTTTTATAATAAACTTTGATTATTGTATCGCGGCATGCCACGCTTAGTAGTTGACACACGTGGCGATTTACGGCGCAAATAGATAATTTCGATGATAAAATGGCTTGATTGTAATGAATGAAACACACAAAAGTGTGTCGGTCTTAACCTTAGAAGTTAAAGTGTGTGTAGGTATAATAAACTTGTTTTAGGCATGAGCAAAGCAGCGATTCGATTAAAAACTGCAATAACTACAAGTAGAGCTATCTATATTTTATAATATAAAAATTATATGTTCTCCTTTCCCGCTTATCAGTAGTGTTTAAACTATTGAAATCGCTTAGAATATAGGACATATAAATTGTCCATTAAAATATACAACCTATAGAAAATTTATACGTGGTTTAGCGAAGTGGGTGTGCTTCCAAGATGGCACCGTGTTCGAGTGCGTGGGCGCAGGGCCGCTGACCCCGGGACCGATTTAGTATCGCGACCCATATCAATGGTGACACCCTAACGTCTGTTGTATGGGGAGATTTTAAAAATTGTACGTTTGAAATGTATTGTAAAAATTCTGAAACATTATTTTTCGTTATCGATTTAGATAGAAAAAGATAAAGATAAAATGTATGATATTCTAGTATCTATGACTACATCAAGTCGTATTAGATTGATTGATGTTCAATATATTGTATATGTCGATAATTTTTGTCATTAGCTTACATGTTGTATACAAAATTAAAAAACAGGGTACCACGGGTAGTAGTGCTTGCTACCCTCACATTTATGTTTTGTATTTAAATGATTCTAATCTTTAAAAAATACTATAGTCAGCCTTCTGTGCACATACAGTACAAATGTGCAAGTTACATGGTGTACCAGTGTTGAACGAACTTAAGGTTTTGAGGGTAGGATTCAAAGACGAGAGTCGCGGAACATAACTCCCAAATGTCAAAAACGTATTAGAACATACGGGAGTAATTCGTTCCTTTAAAAGAATTTGTATTTCAAGTATGTTAATATGAATCAGTTTTTGACAGCTCGAATCTAGCGAAAAATGTATGTTTGTACTTCCGTTTGCGAATACGCCCACGGACGAAGTATTTAAAAAATGTTCTAATATCTTTTCGACTCTACATATTATATGATAACTTCTTTATTTCAGATTACATTCGTATGTAGTTTTAGTTAGTAACCATTCGGCTCTAGTTGCTATGTTAGTATTGGTTAGTAAATAAAACAAAAAAATACTCATATAGTAGGGCATGGACAGCATATCAACGCTTCATGATATGCGTGATGTTTGTGATCAATTTAGGATACCATCGGTGCCTAACTCGATGCAGGAGGCCACCCTTCATGAATTATATCATTGAAACCGTCAGAAATATTCGCGCAAGGGCATTTTAGAGTGTCACTGATTTTGTAATATTTCAGTAAATACCTTAGGTTTGAGGGAGTGAAGTTTAAAACAAAAATATATCTCGTTATCAGTATTTGCAGTGATACTCGCCAGCCGCAATATCCGGACATATCACTTCAAGGTTGCGTATCTCGTGTTACAATTTATCACCTCTGTTTTAAGAGGGGTTAAATCCGTTTTAGTTAATAGTAACAAATCATTTATTATAAAAATCTATGTACAATCGTTTATCTATAGCAGGAAGGAAAATTTACCTTGGGATATTAAAATATTGTCTAAAATACTCTACAAAGTCTACTTTGCGGTCCTTAATACTTTCATGTAATCAGTATATTTTAAAATTTAGTTAAATTAACTAAGTTGTGTATCTTATGTATTTAATTTTTTGTTTGTTTTCGACATTATCGTATTGGCTTAGTACTGTAACGATAGTGTATGTATTTTTTTGTTTAAATCAATAATTGTATATAAATAAATATTTAAAGTCTGTTCCAATCAAATGGTTATTTTAATAACAAGATCTAGATCATAAGTTTTGTGTATGAATGAAAAGTATATAAAAAATGAAGCAGCGGTTAATAATTCTTGCCAATTGATTGACATGTTACATTGTGCATAAAATTTTTATTGGCATAGCGATGTTCGCTGAATGTAATTAAATGTCTTGGAAATTTTAATTGAAACCTTTTTATATGGACTTAATGTTTTATGATGCCATACATCTTGACACATTGTTGAGCATTTTTGTTGGCATTTGTTAATGGTAATTCCAATCGTGTGTAGTGTGAATTGCATTTTAAGAATGTTGGGTATTTAACAGAATTGTATATTTATCATAATGTATCAAGATATATTCTTAAATTTTAAAAAATTAAAATAAATATGGCCAGTAAGGGATATATTTGTAGCATTCTCTTGAGGAAAGATTTTTTATACAAAAATGTATCAATATGTGTGATGTGTATTGATTTATGTTTTGGAATACGGGAAGAGGTAGCTTTTTTGAACATTTTTATGAAGAACAATTTTGTCCTTCATACGAGAATAACGAATTATAAAGTTCTCTGTTTATTTTTTGAAGTTCACCACATTATATATAATGCTATATCTACAATATATGTTTCAGGCTATCATTTTTAAAATATATGACAATTATGGTGAGTATAAATTTTACAAAAAATAAAAAGTAAAAGTAACAGAAATATAATAAAATTAATATTACACTACCAATTTTAGATTTAACTAGTATTTTTTACATAATATTATAAAGTGTAGGCAATAAATTACTAACAAAATAGCGGATTAGGTATCAGATAGGTACATACAAATGTATTTTTTTTACATCAGCCCACTACCAAATATATCGATCTCTGGATACGTAGTGTTTATTCTGTTATATTCGCGAAGAATTCGAATGAGAGGTGCCAGAACTCTTAGTTTGGTTTTTGTATACGGAATTTGGAAAA